CTGCGCCCCAGAGGATCATCCAAACCCTCCTGCAGCTCTGGCAGCCTTGGGGCTGTGCCCACTGCCCTGGGGAGCCTGTTCAGTGCCAACCACCCTCTGGGGGAAGAACCTTTCCCTGAGATCCACCCTGAGCCTGCCCTGACACAGCTCCAGCCATTCCCTGGGGGCTGTCCCTGCTCCCCCCAGAGCAGAGCTCAGTCCTGCCCCTCCTCTGCCCCTGCCCAGGCAGTTGGAACTGCAGGGAGGTCTCTGTGAGCCTTTCCCAATCCTCTGGCAAGGGGGATGCTCCCTGGTCTTTCCAGACAAGCACAATCACTGTGGCTCAGCGCTCATCAACTCCCCCCCAATGACCTGTGGTAGCATTTGAGCCCCAGGAAACAAAAAGAACTCGAGAGCCCCTTACCCAGACACTCGTTGGCCTCGCGGGCGCTGGCGCGCTGCCAGGGCCGGTCGTAGTGGAAGGGCTTGCAGCGGTCGCACTCGGGGCCCTCCGTGTTGTGCTTGCAGTCGCACACCAGCTTCTGCTCCTTGTCCTTCACGCAGCGTGCCGCGTGCCCGTTGCACTTGCAGCGCCCGCCCACCTGCAGCTCCCCCACCGCGTAGTAGTAGGGGGTCGAGCCGGTGCCCCCGCCCTCCTCCTCGCCAGCGTCCCGGCCACCCAGGTCGCGGAAGAGGTGCGGGCGGCTGAAGACCACGCGGATGTCGGTGGCCGTCACCCAGTCCTGGAGCACCGGGCTGCTGTCGAAGTCCTGGGCCGAGGGTCGCCCGTCGAGGGTGCTGAAGGCGATGAGCCCGCCGGTGAGCGGGTACAGGTCGGTGAGGCCGTCAGTGCACAGGGCCTCCTGCTCGTTCTGCTTGGTGACCGTGGCTTTGCTGGGCTTGCCGTAGATCTTGCGGCACTGGGAGGAGTAGTACTGGTACGGCACCCAGGTCTTGCCGTAGTCCATGGACTTGAGGATGGCGGTGGACTCAGGCCGAGGCGAGCAGAACTGGAGGCTGACGTAGACCACCTCGAACTTCTTGCCGAGGGAGAGGGTGAGGGTGACGTTCTGGGGAGAGTGGTGGAGGGTCTCTGAGCGCCAACACGTCATGTTGGAGGCGGTGTTGAGGTCGGTCAGGTAGGCGGGCGGGTGGGCTCGGCGGGGGTCCGAGGCGTTGCAGTGCCGTGTCGGGGGCTTCCCGCACGTGCTGGAGGCTTGGACCTCCTTCCCGAAGGCAGCGTTGACGAATTCAGGGATGCAGCGGCGAGGAGCACCGCTCTCATCGTAGCAAGGGTCAGGGGGGGTCTGCTGGGCCACAAAGGGGTTCACTGTCTGGGAGAGGCCCAGCATGGTGGTGGTGAGGAGAAGGCGCAGCAGCTGCAGGATCTCCATCCTCCTGGGGTGGGGTAAGTGGCCCCTCCCTGAAGGAAGAGAAACAAGAGTGAATAGCACTGGCAGTGTCAGGATCCCATGTTGGGGGATTGGTAAGGGATGGGAAACACCCCCATGTCTGTTCCTTCACCTGTGCTCACCTTCCCACTCCACATCCACTGATACAGCATGCTGGGAGTGGGGCAGGGAGGCGATCCCTTTGTGCTGCCTTATCCACACCAATCCCTCACTGCTCATCAGCAGGGGTGCAATACCCCAGGAAATGGCAAAAGGAGCTGAGCTTTCGATGGAGGAGGTTGAAATCAGGGTACAGCCCTTCTCTGTCCTCCTACAAACTGTCCTGGGGTGACAGGAATGTTCCTGCCTGCCAGCAGGCCTGGTTGTCACACACAGTTTCAGAGATCCCTTCACTGTATAGCTGACAAGGGCTGGTAAGAGCTGAGGAGACCTTCCAGCTGCAACAGAAGCTGCAAACTCCAAGTTATCCAACTGCAGCACAAAACAGCTCCTGACAGTGCAGGAGAAAGGAACAGCAGTAAAAACCTTGCAGGCACATTTTGCAGCAGGCAGGAGGAGCTCATTGGGATGAAGCTCTGGAGCTTCTGGGCACAGCACCACTTTCCTGGCAAGCCATGGCACAGTGGCTTCTCCAAGCCAGGGGCTGGATCTCCTCCAAATTCCTCTGCCACACTACCTGTGTAATCCCAGGGGCAAAAGGAGGCTATTCTGGCCTCACCCCTAAGAAATCCAGGTCTGGGTCTGGTCTGTCAGTTGATGGAGGAAAAGGCCAGGACCAAACTCAGGGCCTGGCTGGGCTCCTCTCCCAGCAGCTGCAGCACAGGACCAGGGAGCTGAGTGGCTCCCAGGGGATGTGGCCCATCTCCTGTGTCACTGGCTCGAAGAGTGGAAGAGGGATGGGAGGTCACATTCCCTCCTGCCAGCTCTGGCTGCAGCAGGAACATCCCACACAATGCAGATGGGCCACATCCCATTGTGTGAGTGGCCACAGCTCATGCAATCACCAGAGAATGGCCCTGAGTGCTGCAGCTGGTGGCAGACACCTGAGCTGCCCAGATGGGGGGGTGGCATCGGCCCTATCATCCTACAGGGTTGTGCTGAGCCAAAGCCAAGTTCTTCAGCCTCTACCAGCCCATGCCATAGTCAGGCAGGAGGAGGGGATCCCCTCGTTGTCCCCTCTTCCACTAATAAATCCTTACAGGATGACTTATTGGGTTTTGTGTTTCACTTTGAGGAATGAAGCTCTGTGCCAGCAGCACAACCCAGCCCAGCATCTCCAGCTTTGCCCCCCACCTACAGCCCCAGGGCTGCTCCTGCCTGTCCAGCTGCCCACTCTGGCCAAAGGAGGCTGCAAGGGACAGCCCATTTCAAATGATTCAGGACCTTTTAGTTTGTTTGTTATTCCATTTTGCAAAGAAAAAGGATCTGTGCCTGTGGAAGAAAGCTGCCTCTCCAGGCTGCCAAACCACTAATGAGAGGAAGCTCCTTCCTGTGCAGCCACACTCAGCCCAGGAGCCAGGGCCTGCCAAGAGGGCAATAGGGACAGGGGTCTCAGCTTCTCCTAGGACATCTACCCCAGGAAAAAACCTGCCTCTGCCACTTCCATGCCATTTCCTCACTGCTTAATCCTCTATTGATGGAAAAGTTGTTGCTCACTGGTAAATAACTGGCAGCTCCCTTGGTGGTCCCTGCGTCCCCCCAGCAGCACATCCCCGGCACTGCTGCAGAGCCTTTTGGGGGCATGTCAGCCCATGGCTTAGCGACTTGACAGCCAGCAAGCAAAGGATGTTGTCCCTGGAGCACTGAGAACCTCCTTGAGGAGTGTGGCTGTAGGACTGGAGGCTGCAGGGACACAGCAGAGGAGGCATCGTGCCACAAGCACCAGGTAGCGAGGAGCATCCCCTGGTGCAGGCAGCCCACAGGGACCCTCAGCCCCACTACAGGCAGCTGTCTCCTGGGCAGATGAAGCCATGGTTGCTTCCAGCTCCCTGGTATCTGCCTGACCAGGCTGCAGCTGGTTAATTCCCCAGTGCAATCCAAACTGGACTAGTGGGCAGTGAGCCAGAGCCCCCTGCCAGCCCATTGGGAGAGCCCTGCTCCTGTACTCACACCCAGCAAAGGGGGCTGCAGAGTGCTGATGGACCCCCTCAGTGCCTAGCAAGACCTGGCTGTGCACATTCCTGCAGAGGTCAGCACAGCACCTTCAGCTCTGTGATGCTGCCAGTCCCTCCCCCATCATCCCCATCCCACAGCACACCCCACAGAGGGGACCCAGTCAGGTGCTGCTGCCACCGCCTCCCATCCCACCAGCCCTAGGGCAGCATGTAGTGTGAGACAACCCTACAGGAAAGTATCTGCACCAGGAAGAGAGAGGTGAAACCTCCAGAGATGCCTCAGCAACTGCATCCATCCACTTCAGGGGTCTCGGGGTGTACAGAACAAGGCACCTACTAAACCCTGCCAAGGAGGAGTCTCCTCCACCCTTCACCTCTCTGCTATGTGGCAGCAAGGTGACGGGGTAGGGACATGCTCAAGCAGACCAGCTGTAAAGGCCTTCTGATTCCCTGTCTGGTAAGACACAAAGGTGTGGGGAAACTCCTGCCCAGGGGAAAGTGACAGCAGCAGCACCTTTGGCAGCCAGGGGAGAGCCCAGAGGTGAAGCCACTACCAGCACTGGGGCAGCAGGTCTAGGGCCCAGAACGGGGTTACCCCTGTTTTGGGGTTGTGTGGGGGGCACAAGCATCTGCTGCCCATCCTCCCTGCCCCCATGGGAAGCTCTGTCCCTCCTGCCAGCCTTACCAAGTCCCTGTGATTCAGTGCCAAACTTCTGGGGGCTCTGCTGCCGGGGAGCAGCCCTCGGGGAGCCAAGGCTCGCCCAGCAGTGCATCGGCGCTGCAGAGGCAGGGCATGAATGGAAATCATTATCATCCCCGGGACCACACACAGGCACGCACGCTCCGCGCTCAGCTCACCCCATTATCCCGCTGAAAGAGAGCCGGGGCCGGTGGTCTCCGTGGGCCTCACCTCCGTATCAGAGAGGAGGGCAAGCTGCAATCTGCTCCCTTTTATGCATATTCAGCGTGACCCCGGGACTGCCGGCAAGCTGCCAGAGAGGCCTGGGAGTGGGTATTTCTCTCCCCAGTCTCCGTGTGCCCCCTTTTCCACTTCAGATCAAATGGAGATGCTGCTGACTAAGCAGAGAGAAATGGAATGACCCCTCGGCGCCGAATCCAGCCCAGCACACGCCTGGATCTGGCACGAGGAGAGACACAAGCGATGGAACGCCTTTTGCAGTGACAGCACCTCGAAGGTGTCTCAAGCGAGGCTCTCGGGTGGCTCTCGGCTCGCTGCCACCAGCAGCGCCCGCGGGCCGGGGCTCACCCTTCCCGAGGAAGCGGCCGCCCTCCCAGCTCCTCCCCAGAAGCATTTTTGAGGTGGGCGATTTCTTCACTCCTCCGCTCGGGGAATGCTAACAGCCGTGCGGCTTGGAAGGAAGTCACGCCGCCGGGGTGCTTCAGAAGTGCTTTAAAAAAATTAACTACCACATCCACCGCCTCCACACCCCTTCTCCCTACAGCCACACGCTTCCCAGAGCGACCAGCAGCGTTTCCCTGCCTTGTGGGAGACTAGTCAGGGGGATGCTCCAGCCCACTGTGGGTTCCTTTCCCATCGTCTTTCCGGGAGGCAGGGCTGCCGAGGGTGATGCCGGGCACAGATCCACGCCTGGAGCGCCAGGGCTCTTGATGCTGAGCCACGGGGCGGGTGCTTGGTCCCCAAAATAGAGTGCACGAGGCAAGTGCAGCAGGTGAGGCGGGGCAAGGAGAGCAAAGTTCTCACAACAGGGATGCTAGAGCCTATGGCAGGCCCAGGGTCACCACCCAGCAGACCAGGGGCCATGGCAGCTTTGCCGAGGTAATTACAGGATTAAGAGAAACAACACGAGGCACAGAGGGAAGGGGATTATTTGCCAGATTTGATCCCAGGACCTTTGCTGCACCGGAGCAGCCTTCTCTACTTAAAGAGGAGGTGAAGGCGTGAGTGGTGTTCTGCTCTCAGAAAAATGTGGGGTTAAAGGCAGGCAGTGGCTAAAGCTGAGCAGCCAGCACTGCCTGGGAGGGGAGGGGGAATGCCCCAAGGGATGACAGGGGAATGGTGCTTCCTTCCTGCTAGGGACCTGCACTGCTGCCCCCCTGGTTCTCACCAATACTGCTGACACGGTCCAGCTGGATGGGTTTCTGCTCTGGGCCAGGGCAGTGCATGGGGTACTTGCACCACCTGAGGAAAGCATTTAGCCTTACTTGCAACTGGCTCAGACGGGAATGACTGGTCCCCACAAGGTGCTGCATCACCCTGTGCACAGGGGTAAGGTCCTGGGTGCCAGCGTGGGGCAGGGACAGAGCCACAGACCCACATGGGGCAGGAACATGCTCTTCATTGCACAGCAGAGCTGTGGAGCAGCTGGCAGAGATTCCTGGGCGAGGACCAAAGGACCTGACTACTCAAGGGAGTCCAACAACTAGATCCAAAGTGCTTGTATCCTCTCGGAGATGTGGCATACCCAGTAAAGCCACCAGCACCTCAGGTGCCATCTGAGCAGGAGGGCACTGTGGGGATGGGGCGGGACCCAAAGGAATGATGTGCTCAGAGAAGCTGTAACCAGGCACAAATGACCAGAGCATGTCCCTTAACCAGGATGTATCTGCTACTGCACTGCGCTTTTCCACCTCATCATGGCCCCTTCCTAATGAGGGCACCTGCACTCCCTTGTCACACATGCTGTGGGAGTGACCCCCTGCAGATCTGCCCCAGACCATGAACAAAACTCATCTTGGGGGGCTGGTGGGGTCCCTGGGTACCCAGGCCCCTCATCCACCATGCCAGTGCCAGCTGGGGGAAGTTTCATTCCCTCACCCAACCAGCAGAATGTATCAGGACCAAACTGTGCTTCAGCCACAGAAAAATCATTCCATGTGTCTCTGGGACATAAAAACACAACTGGGAAACATTTAAAGTGAAAGGAAAAACCCTGTGCAGCCAAGGTGCTGGTCCAGGCTCGGCTTTCCGGAGGCAGGGAGAGGCAGGAGGGATACAGTGCAGCTGGTAGCGCTAATCGCCTTCCCAGCCGCTAATGGAGCAACCAGTGCCCACTTGGGACATGGCTAATGGCACTGAGGAGATGCTTTCCTTTACAGGCTCCCTCCTCTCTGCTGATATTTAAGCATCAGAAGCTCCTGAGCACTCTCGGACCCACATCCGCGGAGTTGGCCGCTTTGCGCAGCCCCTCGGGCTTTCAGCCCCCCCGAAGGCACCGCTCACAGGGGCAATTACACGGCAGCATCTTCCTGCAGCAGGCACCGAGGGTGAGAGATCCTGCAGGTCGGAGCCAGAATGACACAAGCCATACGATCCCCCGGCGGTGCCAGGAGACGCGTACAAATTACACTGCAGGAAAGGATGGGCCAGATTCTGACCTCAGCCCTTTGGCATCAGCCCGAAGTAACTCCATTCACATCGGGCCAAACCAAGACGTAAGCGACTCCATTCAAATTTACGCTGGCATACCTGTGGTCAGGATCTGGCCTGGCTTGAATTAGCTGCAGCCTGATGTTACAAAAGGCAGAAACGGAGCCCAGATTTCCAAGGTTATTGAAAACAACTAAAAAATAAAAGAAAAAAAGAGAATTCCACCATGAAGCAAACAGTCCCCAGGCTGCACAGCCATGTGCACGGAGCTGTCAAAGGTGGGATGCTTGGACACATCCCTGCTCATCAGTTTTGGTAACTCATAAGCCCGACTGACCACAGGAAGGAGGGACCAGCACCTCTGCTCACCACTGGCCCTAGGTAGAGGTGGCCCTGCTGCCAGGAGGGGAGACTTCAGCAGGGTATCACCCCTATGATGCAGAGCTGAAACCATTTTGCTGCAACACTCTTGCACCCTCCAGCCGGTGCAAGCTGGAAATCTCCTCCTCATGCTTCCAATGCAACAGCAGCTCAAGGAGGCATCTGGAGCCCCTGATCTTGCAGGAGCAGCAAGCATTGCTTGGATGCATTTGGACTTGATAATCCTTGTGGATCCCTTCCAACTCAGGGTATTCTATGATTCTGTTCTCCTCTATTTATTGACCTCTACTACAGCTTGACCAGTTGTTTCACCCAACTCTAATCGCAGCCCAGCTCCCTGAACCTCTTCACACAGTCCTGCCACAGTGCTTGGCTCTGTCGAGTGTTCCCAGCAGCATCCTTCAAGGTGCAGAGGATTTTCCTCCCACTGCTTCTAGCGGATGCATGGAACTCATGCGGTCCCGGTCTAGAAGTCCTCATTGCTTCAACCCCTTTCCACTCCATATGGGAATAAAGTGATCTGGTTTCCATAACGTCCCTCATTGCCTTTTCACAACATGCCGGGCACAGATGTTGAAAATAGTCTGGATGAATATTTAAAATGGTATTCAGAGATGACAACATTTGGCCGGCTTTGAAAGATCTCTCACATCGGGCAGAGGATGGCTCACGACAACGGGCCGGAAACACGCTGCACTTTGACATCTCTTTTTTTTTTTACCCCTTCTCTGGCTATTGGTATGATATTTCATGCCCCTGGTGTCCCACAGCCTGTTATTGCTTGAGTGCCAGCCAAGCCTGCAGCATTTGGAAGAAGCTGTCACGTACGTTTTTAAACATCACGGGGCAAAGCGGAATATGGAAAATCTGTCGCGTTTCCATACCGAGCACGAGTGGCCTGCGCAGGCTCAGGGAGGGGCTCGAAGGGGCACAAAATAATTGCTTCCTTATGGAGCAGGGCCTGACTAACAGGGTGGGGGAACAGGAGGCAGAGGTGCTGCGGACACCCTTGGCACGGCAGGCTGCTTCCCCGCTGAAGACATCTCAGTATGTGCCCCAAGGTCTGCACCGATGCTCACCTCCTTCTTCAGGGCTGGGAAACTCCTCTTGGAGCCACACCTCTGCCAGCCAAGATGGGAGCTCTGTCCTGGCCAACCCAGGCTGAAGGCATCATGTTCTGGTGCTCAGGGAGCAGTGGAAATGCTCCTCAACCTCAACGCATCGCAGCTTGCATTTCTGGTGAGCTCCTCGTGCTCAGCTGCATCCACAGGCCTGGCTTTTCTTTTCCACAGGCTGCAGACACACCTCAGCTCTTTCCCAGCCTGGCATTACACCTGCTCTCTTCTCTGCAGGGACCCACCTTGCCCTCCTCCTTCCACACACAAGTGGAGGAGGAAGGGGTGCTGGGACACCCCACCCTTCTCTTGGACTGCTGGCCCTCTTGTCCCCTCACCAGCCTGCTCCCACCAGGTGAGTAGAGCAGCACAGCAGCTCCCTCTGTTTTGTAAATGGGATACTGCAGAAAGAGAGGAAAAAAAGTTGTCCTCCATCCACCCAAACACCTTGGAGGGTGTTTTCAGACCACAGCTGAAGCCACATCCCTCTGCAGCGGTTACAAAGAGCTCCAGCCTCTCCCGGCTCAGAGACAAGCAACAGCAAACTTGGCCAGGGGAGAAGGACCTGCGGCATTTCCAGCCATGCGGGGTTTGCACATCCTGGATCATCTCATCATCCTGTATCATCTCAGCCCAGCTACAGGTCCGACACAAACAGAGGTGGGGATGTTCAGCCTGGCTCACAACCCATACGCTCATGGGGTGAGGTCCCTGAGAGAGGAGCATCCATGCCTAAGAGCTGCCCAGATGAGCAGAAAGCCAGCAGAACCACTGCAGTGCCAGAGGAGCTCCCGCTCCTGCCCACGAGGCCTTCCTCACCCACCATGCTCGGTGAGGCAGCAGACTGCCAAGCACCACGTCCCCCATCACACCAGTTATTCCTTATCCCAAGAAAGGTATTTCCACCCACCCACTCTCCAGTGGGCCAGGGAAGCTGTGGGTGGGACGGCGTTTTGAGGAAATGAGGGTTCAGCCGCTCCAAGAGAGAAAAGCAAACGCAAACCCACCAAATGCAGCCCAGTTTCTCTTCTCCCCGTGCTGCCGCCCGCTCGCACGTGCCCTGGCAGGGCTGCTCTCCCCCCAGCTGTCACCCAGGACAGGGGCTGAGGCTGCCCAGGGGCTCACCCAGCTCAGCCCAGCACCACAGAGCAGCTGAGCCCATGGCGTGGGGGCTGTTTCCAGAGGGAACCCACCCTCTGAGCCACCACGGGGCCTCTCTGTGTGCCGGGAAGGGACCGGCGATAGCCCCAAGCCTGGGATGGTGGCAAGGCCGATGCCACCCGCCAAGGTGGCTTTGTGCCGGTGGAGCCCTCCCCGGCGGAGCAGGGCCTGCGGCGGGAGCTGCGGGCAGGGGAGCACGTGTGTGCCCCGTGGCCGCCCAGCCGGGGCTGGCACCGCAGGCACGGCCTGGCAGCGCTGCCCGCACCGCGCCCGCACCCGGCGGGGCCGGGGCCGCGACACCGCGGGGCTTCGGACAGCGCCGAGCACCCGCACGGCCCCCGCCAGCTCTGCGGGGCGGCCGCGGCGAGCCGGGCCGGGCCGAACCGGGCCAGAGCGCGGAGCGGCCGGAGTTGCCCGGGGCCGGGAGCGGGGCTCGGCGGCGGGCGGGCGGCCCCGCTGCGGGGAGGTCCCGTTCTCGGCGGCGAAAGGATGGAAAGGGAAATAAAGGGAGGGTGAGTGCGGGGGGAGAGGGAGGAATAAAAGGCAACGAGGGAGGGAGCGGTGGGGAGGAGAGCGGGAGCTGGGAGCGCCGGCAAGTTGGGAGCGCAGCTTACCGCGGCCGGGCAGGTAGCGGGGCCGGTCCGGGCGGCAGGTCCGGGAGCGGCGGCGAGAGGAGCCGGGGCCGCGGCCGAGCGGGCGGCGGCAGCCCCTTCCCGGGGCTGAAGAAAGGAAAAAAAGTAAAGAAAAGGGAAAAAAATTGCGATAATAACAAAATTTCCAGGGAAGCGTGTGTGTGTGTGTGTGTGAGCAAAATAAGGCGAAATAGTGGAAAGCGGGAGCGCTGCTCCCGGCGGTGCGGGCGGGTCCCAGTGCCGTGCCCGCAGCCGGCCGCGCTCCCGCCCGCTCCGCCGTACCGCCAGCGGCTGCTTCGGCTGCGGGAGGGAGGGGGGGAGGCGGCAGGGGAGGGCGAAAAAGAGAGGAAAGGGGAAAAAAAAACAAAAAATAAAACCTTAAAAAAAAAGGGGGGAAAAAAAAGAAAAAAGAAAGAAAAGCAAGAATTGGAGAAACTGAGCCCCGACCGCCTCCTGGAAGCGGAGTAAAAAGGCTCCAATAAATCCCGGGTTGAAAAGAAGGAAAAAGTCACCTCCCCGAGGAAATCAGAAGCAGATTTCGAGCCATTTAATCACATGCAGGGAGGTGTGTGCGTGTGCGCCGCCCGCCGCCGCTGCCAGCCCTGCCTCCGCCCTCCGCCCCGCCGGCAGCCCAGCGGGCAGGGCCGGGCGGGGAGCGGGGAGCCCTCCCCGCGGGGGTCCCGGTGGCCGCCCCACCGCCGGGCAGCCCTCCCCGCCGGCCGCCGCCGCGGGGGTCCTGGTGGCCGCGGTCCCACCTGCCGCCCGGGCTGCCCCGCCGCACCCCGGGAGATCGCTGAGCTCGCCGCGGGTCCATCCCTGCGGTGTGCGGGGGGCTGTGGGGCGCAGCCCGCCACGCCGAGGGCTTCAGCGGTGCCGCCCGGAAAGCAGCCGGTTATCCTCCCTTGCCTTCCCAAAGCAAATGAGGGATTTACCAGGCGGGAGCAGCTCCTCTTATGGAGGAGGCTGGAGTCTCCGATCCATCCCGTGATGCGGGGGCTTTTCACGCGCTGCTGCACCAGGGCCGCCCTTGGTCTCTGAATTTTGGGCAGGAGGGGAGAGAAATGGGGCACTTCCGTGCCCAGCACAGCTGCCTCCGGGCTGCCCCAGGGGGTCTGCCCCGCCATCCCCAGGCCACCTGCGAGCGGGGCAGGAAAAAGGTGAAACTAATTTAATCAGTTTGTGTGAGGCGGTGGAGGAGAGCAGAAAACCCGGACCTGGATCCCCTCCTTCGCTGGGGTCGTGTTCACAGCCCTGCAGCCCCCACATGGGCCTCGGGAACATCCTCTCGTAGATACCGTGGCAGTGGATGTGAGGACTGAGGACAGCACCGGCGGTGGGGAGGAGGGCGATGTGCCAGCACAGTGTTCAGCCGTTACGTTCAAAGCCCCCACCCACCATCACGCTGCTCCCGGAGGACGCCCGGTTACCCACATCCTGTTGCTCCGGGGCAGCAGGTTGCAGGAGCAGCTCTCCCAGCCGGCTGGCAGATGCTCGCTGAAGGCGCAGACCCCAGCTGGCCGCGAGCCCCAGGGGAAATGCTGTTTGCTGCTCTCTGCCTTGTTGCACAAAACACATCTCCCCCCTCCTTCGGCAGCAGGCACACAGATAGACGAGGGCAAAGCCACCAGGTGACGACAGAACAGAGGAGGCTGGGTGTGAGCAGTGGAACCTCAAGGCTCTCCAAGCCCAACGCTACAGGTGTCTTGTAGCCCCCCCCCGGCTCTCTTGGGAACACTTGTGCATTTGGAGAGTCAGGTGGCCAGGCCAGAAGCCATAACAACAGCCCACGTGCAGATCCCAGAGGAGAAGCAAGTACAGGGCCAGTGTTCATTTTGTGTGGGATCAGATCAGAGCGTAGGGCAGAGAGGGGCCCGTGGCTGTCAGAACAGTGTAGGATTTAGTGCATGGGTCTGGGGACAGGCTGGGGTGACCAAGGCAACAGGGAGAAATGGAGTATGGCTCAAAGATCCTGAGGTGACACAAAGCAGGAATTGTCCAAGGGATGGACCTGAAGGCATTTTCCTCAACAGAAAGCACAAGGGAAACCATGAATATGAGCTGTGATACTGAGCCAGCCTGGCTGGGCTGCTCCAGGGTGGTGCTGAGCTGGGGGACTGAGTCACCACAACCTCAGTGCTGCTGTTTTTGTACCCGTTGTACCCCCTATTCCCCTATCCTGGGACCAAACATGATGCTGAGGTGCTGGCCACCATATGGAGAAATCCTAGGACTGCTGTCCACAGGCCTCCTGTCAGTGAAAGCCCAGCTGAGATGGGTACAAGCTGTTTCCTGAATCCCCATTTACACTGTTCCCTCTTTGCAGGATGGAGAGCCTGAGAGGAAGATGTGAATCTGGGTTTGGCAAACAGTGGGGTGCCGTGGACATCAGCAGGGATGGAGCACTCAGTGAGGTAGGAATCGGACTGTGAGACCCTGCTGGTGTCCCTCAGCATGCCAACATCACCATGAATAGGGCACCCAGTGCTCACTGCCTTCCTGGGCAGGGAGAAGAAGAGGGCAAACATGTTGTGTGGTTTGTCTCCCTGGTGTCTGCAGGAGCTCTACCCCTTACAAGCTCCTATTCTGCATCCATTGCTTCATGAAGGCACAGCATCTGGTGCCAGTCAGGCCTCTCAGTCAGCGAAGGATTGCCAAAAGGACACAAACACTCACAAGCTCTTGGAGCAAAAGCACCGGCACCAAGTCAGCTGGGGCAGACACAGAGCACAGAGTGGGTTGGAAGGATCTTTAAAGATCATCCAGTCCAACTGCACAGCAGAGATATCTTTCATTAGACTAAATTGCTCAGGTCCCCATTTAACCTGGCCTTGGACACTTCCAGGGATCCAGGGGCAGCCACAGCTTCTCTGGGCAACCTGTGCCAGGGCCTCCCCACCCTCACAGGGAAGAATTTCTCCCCAATTTCCCATCTAACCCTGCCCTCTGGCAGTGGGAAGCCATTCCCCCTTGTCCTGTTCCTCCATCCCTTGTCCCCAGTCCCTCTCCAGCTCTCCTGGAGCCCCTTTAGGCCCTGGCAGGGGCTCTCAGGTCTCCCTGGAGCCTTCTCTCCCCCAGGCTGACACCCCTCCTGGCCCCACTGCCCTCAGTACCTCGTCCCCCCAAACCCCCCCAGCACTCAGAGATGGCCCAGCCCTGCAGAGACTCCCTTGGTCATTGCTTTCTGCCCAGAGTGGCTCAGACCTCGCACCTGAGACCCCCAAGCCTCCGACCCCACCCGACCCCTCCTGATTCCCCTGAGCCCTCCAGGATCCCCAGCTCCCCCGGACCCACCTAAGCAGCCGAGCTCCCCCAGCTCCCCTCAATTCCCCCAAGCCCCTCAGGGACCCCCAGATCCTCAAGCTCCCCGAGTCCCCCAAACCCTCCTGGCTCCCCCAGCTTCCAAAGGCCCCGAACCCCCCAAGCTCCCTAGCTTCCCTGGCTCCCTCGGACCCCTGAGTCCCAAGTCCCTTTGGCTTCTCCGGGAACCCCCGGACCCCCGAGATCCCCTAGCCCCCTGGCTCCCCAAACGCCCTGAGTGCCCCCAGCTCCCTCTGGGACCCTCCATTCTCCCATACCCCCCGGCTCCCCCGAGCTCCCCGATACCCCGAGGATCCCCTAAGCCCTCCTCACTCCCCGATCCTCCCTCACCCCCCGATCACCCCTAGTGTCCCCGATCCCCCCCTCGCCCCTCCGGCTCCCCACGATTCCCCTGGGTCCCTCTGGCACCCTGGACCCCCGATGTCCCCGATCCCCCTTGTCCTCTTGGTCCCCCCTCGCCCCCCTGTAC